GGCTTGAGTTTAAAAAATGGAAGACTGTGTATTGAAAGGAATTAAATCACGAAAGAAAAGGAAAATAATGGAGAATACCGGCATCGTCGAGCACGTGCCCGTCCAGGTTCGGCCGCTGGTCAGGCCGCTGCGGAGGCGATCTTCAGTGCAAGATGGGTATTTTTGTCGGTTGAAATGCAGAACTGGTTAGAAAAAAAAGGGAAACCACCGTAAATTACTCTAAAAAGCAGATATTCAATGAAATTAATGCCAAGAGAAGCACGGGTTCTCGCGCTGGCAGCCGACCCGACGGCGGCGCCTACCGAAGCCGCCGACACTAGGGTGAGGTTTCTTCGATCAGAAAGGTGTATTGCTCTGCTTTCCTCCTGAAACAACTTCATTAATAGTGTTTTATTTCATAAGAAGCGATTAAAAGAGGAAAATATTCATGAAAAATGGGCGAAACCTGCAGCCACACCTGTGTTTCGGGTGTATAGGCAGCTTTGCAGAACTGCCGCCAACATTTGTCCGCATTTCCCGTATGCATCTTTAAATTAATTAGAGTTAATCCGTTTCAACTCATGAAAAAACAAACACATATCGAGTAAACAATTCTTTTCGTCCTTCGTTCACCCGCCCGCAGCCGCCGATACGCAAAAAAAAAAACTGTCGTTTCCCCCGCTTTTTCATGTTTGACGGCGGCATTTTTTCTCAGTTCATCGCCTGCCTTCACCAGATGTGCAAAGCTGCGAAGCCTGAGACGGGTCTACTGTGCATATTCCGGCTCTATACAGTATCGAAGTGTCAGTGTTTACAATAGTTGAGGTGTACGTACACCGGGATACGGACGGGGAAACTCGCGGTGTACGTACACCTGAATTGTGTACAAATTAGAGATATTCAGGGTAGGGTTATTTGTTGGCATTTACAGGCTTGTTGAGTGCCATATAATTAATATCTTACTCATATTTATGTATTAATAATAGAGTAACATAAACAACAACCTAGTAAAAGAACTAAACATTGTAACAATAAAATGTAGTAAATATTATATAAAGTAAATAAAATAAAATATATATAAACTGACACCTGAAGGCAAAGGCCCAAGTCTGTTCACAGGCCACCAGCCCAGGCGCGGCCACGGCGAAGGCCACAGCAGCAGTATACAGCAGAAATATAA